TTTTATTTAGTAAAAACATCTTTTATTTGAAGGATTTATCCTTTGCTCTCAGCCATAAAATCCCTTCCAGCTCACTTTGCTCTTTCCCTTCTGATTACCCAGTAAAACCAGCTCAGCCATTCTTTCCTTCTATACCAAAACTTGCTTTCATTCCTATAAAACCTTCTGGATATCTGCAAATTAAATTCTCGTCCTTCCCAACAAACAGTCACTACAATTATTTTCCCTGCCCATGTGCTAAAAGGGACAGAGGTTTCACAAAGGGAATTCTGCAGGGAGCAAACTGGAGTCGGTGAGAGGAGCAACCCCAAACCTGATCCATTTTTTGAGCAGTGTTTACTTGAAAACAAACAAATAAAAGGCAGGAAAATTAATCCACAAAGACCAGAGTTTTATGTCCAAAAAGGAGACAGAGGAGTAATTTTTGCTTTATTTGAATAAAGGGAGAGGCCATGGGACATTCCTCTGGGGTCTCTCAGATTTTTGGAGGACTCCCCTCCCTTTTTATCCCAATTTCCCTCTCTCTTTCCCCATTGATGAGGTACTGGAGAAGTCCAAACTTCCCAAACCCCTGATACCTGAGATTCCCCTCCTTTTAAATTTTTAATTCTTACAGAATTCATAGTTTTTCCCCCATTGCTTCTTTCATCTTTCAATATCCAATTCCATTTCTCAGCAAACCTACACTTTGTTTGTAAAGGCAAATATCTTTTATTCCATTCATCCATCACTGGAATCCATCCCATTGTTCTGGTTTTTTTTTTTTTTTTTTAATTTCTCAGTTTTATCCACCAACAGCTCCACAGCTCGTTTGGAAAGACAAATTCGACATTGCTCTTAAAAAAATCAACTCCAGCACAACCGTCAGCACTGAAAGATCACTCTGAAGAATTTTTCCTTTTTCTTTTTCTTCACTTTCAGCTCAGGAAATTTGCCAGGGATGCAGAGAACGTGGAGCTGGTTGGGAATCTCACCCTGCTCAGGGACACTGCCCAGTTCTTCAGCCAGCAGCTGCTGAGCCCTGCCCTGCCCCTGCCCAGGTAGGGGTGGCCCTGCTGGCATCGGTGCTGGGGACACCAAAGGCTTGGCTGGGGGTGGCAGTGACGCCTCTGAAAGGGCTCCTTTATCCTGGAGGGGTCAATTTTCAAAGAATCCCATTATAAGATATATTAGTATATTCTATATAATAGTACAATAAATAAGTGATATATAACAGCACAATAAATGATATATAACAGTACAAGATATATATATTATAGTAAAATACATATTCTATATAATAGTGCCATAAATATATATTCTATATAATAGTAGCAGAAATATGTGATATATAGTAGTACAAGATATATATATAAGAGTAAAATAAATATATATATTCTATGTAATAGTAGCATAAACATATATTCTATATAATAGTACCATAAATATAATAAGATATAATAAGATATAAAATATATTTTCAACGAATCCCACTATAATAATATAATAATAGAATAATACACAATGTAAAAGATAGAAGATGCACAAAATTTCAAAAGAATCCCACTCTAAGAACACAACGATATAACAAATGTACATTATAATCAAATAAATACATAATAATACAACGCTAAGAGATGAGGTATATAATTTCAAATACTCCCTCAATAATCCCACTGCCCTTGAGGAGCTCCAGATCCCAAGTTCTTTATCCTGGGTGAAGATTTCCCTGCAGCACTTCCAGCCTTTTTCCAGCTCTCTGAGCCGGAGCTTTGGCATCAGCAGAGCTGAAATGCTGGGGGAATATTCCTGGAAAAAGCTGGAAAATTCTGCTGGAGCCGCTGTGCTGTGGCCGTGTGTCAGGGATTAACCCTTTGGGCAGCGGTGATAAAACACCCAGCAGCACGGTGTCTCTCAAGATAGGAAAGAGACAATTTATTCTTTATTTATTTATAATTTATTATGAACATTACACTCCTTAAATACACCCAGGACGCTCACTCAAGACAAAGCACTAGATTATTGGTCCAGAGACAGTGACACCTCTTTCCCAGGCTTTGTCACCTATCCAGCAGGTGTTTATTTTCGGTTCTTCTCTCGTGTTTCCATTAGAGAAAAGCGGCGAACTCGGGAAAAAAATAAAATCCCTGGGAAAGCCGGACTGGAAAAATCCTCAAAGAGTTTTTTTCTGGACCTGACAGCCACACTCCGTGACCGCAGCCCCTGTGTGGTTTTTTTTTTTTTTTTTTGTCCCTGCAGCCTCCCAGGCAAATTGATTTGTTACCTGAGCCCCGGGGCGGTGACAAACCTGAGCACGGAGCAGATTTTGGAAGTGGCGCAGAGGCTGGGGAGGAGCTGCCCCTGGAGCAGGGACAGGGCTGCAGGCAGAGCTCGCTCCTCCCTGCCATGGCAGGGGCTGCAGGTGAGCACCTGGGGAGTCCCAAAATCTGATTTTAGCCAGGCCGGTACGCGGGAAATCCTCTAGAGCTCGTGAGAAAAGAGAGTTATAAAGTGAATTTATTGTATATATAATGCAGTATATTCTATTCTATGCTATTATGTACTAGTCTATATTTTGTAGTCTATATTTTGTATTCTATACTATTATGTAATATTCTATATTTTGTTTTCTATACTATTATGTACTGTTCTATACTTTGTATTATATTCTATATTATTATGTGCTATTATATTATATACTAGTCTATATTTTATAGTACATTCTATACTATTCTATACTGTTCTATATTTTATATTTTATTTTATACTATTCTTTACTATTATATTGTATACTGTTCTATATTTTAGAGTATATTCTATACTATTCTGTATTTTATAGTATATTCTATACTAATCTGTATTTTATAGTATATTCTATACTATTTTATTCTATACTGTTCTATATTTTAGAGTATGTTCCATACTCTATAGTATATTCTATACTATTCTATACTATTTTATTACATACTAGTCTATATTTTATAGTATATTTATATTTTATATTATAGTCTATACTATTCTATTCAGGCTGCGGGATCCGGGGATTTGGGACAGCGGGATCGGGGGATTTGGGGCAGCGGGATCGGGGGATTTGGGGCTCAGCGGGATCGGGGGATTTGGGGCTCAGCGGGATCGGGGGATTTGGGGCTCAGCGGGATCCAAGGATTTGGGGGAGCGGGATCCAAGGATTTGGGGCAGAGGGATCCGGGAATTTGGGGCAGCGGGATGGGGGGATTTGGGGCAGCGGGATGGGGGGATTTGGGGCAGCGGGATCCTGGGATTTGGGGCAGAGGGATCCGGGAATTTGGGGCAGCGGGATGGGGGGATTTGGGGCAGCGGGATGGGGGGATTTGGGGCAGCGGGATCCGGGGATTTGGGGCAGCGGGATCCGGGGATTTGGGGCAGCGGGATCCGGGGATTTGGGGCAGCGGGATCCAAGGATTTGGGGCAGCGGGATCCTGGGATTTGGGGCAGCGGGATCCAGCATTGCTGCTCTGACTCTGCTGTGTCTCCCCGGGTTGTTTGCAGGTCGCCTCGTCCCTGGTGAGGAATTTGGAGGATTTGTCCCCAGCAGTGCTGGCAGCTTTGGGCCAGGCTGCCCTGGGGATCCCGGTGTCCAGAATCCAGAGCAGCATCCCCGGGGAGAGCCTGGAATCGGCTCTGCCCGCCCTGGCCAGGGTGCGGGGCTGGAGCCCTGAGCAGTCCAGAGCCATTGGCAACAAACTGCTGAGCTCTGGCTACCAGGTACAGAGCACCACAAATCCTGGGAATGGGGGAAATGGGGAAGAGGAATCGAGGAAAATGGGAATGGGGAAAACTGGACTGGGAACATGGGGAATGGGGGAACATGGGGAAAATGGGAATGGGAAAATTGGGCTGGGAACTGGGGGGAAAATTGGGCTGGGAATGGGGGAACATGGGGAAACTGGGAATGGGAATTGGGAAAGTGGAGAGGGAACTGGGAGAGGATGGGCTGGGAATGGGGGAAAGTGGGAAACTGGGGAATGGGGGAAACTGGGAAGGGAGAATGGGGGGACGGAGGAAATGACTGGGAACTGGAAATGGGGAAAACTGGGCTGGGAACTGGGGGAAAACTGAGTGGGGAACTGGGAGATAATGGGCTGGGAATGGGGGGAAACTGGGCTGGGAACTGGGAGAGAATGGACTGGGAATTCCTCTGGGAAGAGTATCAAGCATTGGAAGTGCCCAGGGAGGTTTGGGGGTGCCCATCCCTGGAGGTGTCCAGGGAATTCCTGGATGTGGCACTCAGAGCTCTGAGCTGGGGATTTGGCAGAGCTGGGACTCGAGGAGCTCTTTCCCAACCTGATTTTTTTTTTTTTTTTCTGGGATTCCCTCGCAGATCCTGGATGGACAGAGCCTGGCAGAGCTGGGCACTTTGGTGGGTGGCCTCAACAGCAGCACGCTCTGGAGTTTGTCCCCAGAAATTGTCCTGGAGGCCATCCAGCTGCCAGGCTTTGCCCAGCACGTGGACACTCTGCCCCCTGCTCTGAAAACCATCCTGGTGGAAAAGGTGACCTTGTGTGATGTCCTGCAGGGCTGCATTCCCTGGGGGATTTGTCCCAGCCAGGCAGGGGTGACAGCAGGACGAGCCACTGTCACTGCCTCTGTGCCCGTGTCCTTGGCCTGCTCAGCCTCTTGGGGACAAGGGCACGAGGGAGTTTTTGTTTTCTGGGGTGGTCCCAGAAATTGCTTCCCAGTTGGTGTTCCCAGGGAAAGAATAGAAACGGAGCAGAATTAATTCAAGGTCGGATTTGATCCTTTTCCAACCTAAACAATTCTCTGGCTCTGATATTGCCACAGGTTTGGGCTAAAACTGGCTCGGGTTGCCACAGGTTTGGACTAAAACTGGTTCAGGTTGCCACAGGTTTGGACTAAAACTGGCTCAGGTTGCCACAGGTTTGGGCTAAAACTGGTTCAGGTTGCCATGGTTTGTTCTGTTGGGTTTTTTTTCCCAAGGTTTCCTCCAGTGTTGGCCACCCCTCTGAGCTGGTTAAACTCATTCCCAATGCTCTGGCCAGCTCCATCCCCAAATCCCTGCTTGTTTTTGGGGAAGAGAAGCCGAATGTGCAGGATCTCAACGATAAACCCTGGACCAGAGACCAGGTAAGGGGGGGTGGGCTCCTCCTTCCCTTCCCTGCCCTCTGTGGGGCCGTGAATTCCCCAAATCCCCCTGGAATCTGAGCAGTTTTCCCTGGAAAACCTCTGCCTTTCCTTCCCAGGCTGCAATGTTTTTTGCTGACGTGGTGAAGGCAGAGCCTGACTTCAACAGGTAAAGATTTTCCTCCTCCCTTTCCATTTTTCTTGTTTGTTTTCCTGGCGATTCCCAGAGTTTTCCTGACTTTTCCCGTTGTGCACGTGTGGAATCCACGGGAGCAGCTGGGAAATGCAAAGTGAGCCCCAGCACAGGCACGGAACACTGAGATTTACCAGGGCTCAGCTGGAAAATCCACCCAGAATCCACATTTTCTGTCCTAAAACCTTGCTGCTGCCTCAGGCTGCACCTGCAGCCTTGCTCCACGTTGCAATGCATTTCCAAGCAGGGAATTCATTTCCAACCCTTCCCGAGGGCAATTCCAGGGATTAATTTATAGGGGCTGATGCATCTTTTGATGTATTTAAATTCGAAATCATGGTTTTCGTAATTTTTTTTATCTGGGAAAAAAAAAATGAGGTCGGTTCTGAGTGCATCTTCCTGAAGGTTTTTCCTTTCTGGTTTTTTTTGGGTTTTTTTTTTTTTTTTTTTCCTGCTGGGAATTGCCAGGCTCTCCCAGTCTGTCCTGCAGGGTTTTACCTGTGCAGCTGCCAGCGCTGTGGGAGCTGAAAGGTTTCAGGAGTTGGCCAAGGTGATGAGGAAGAAGAAGGTCAGGCTGGGCCAGGACCAGGTAATTCCCACATTCCCAAAGGGTTTGGGATTGTCCTGAAGGTGCCAGAGGGGATTTGTTGAGCCAGAAGAAACCTTTGGAGGTCGGGGAATGGAGGTTAGGATGGATTTTAGGATAAGGTTTTTCTTCCAGAGGGTGGCCTCAGGCACAGGGGGAGGTTTTGGGGTGTCCTGTGAAAAAATATCCCGGGTGTCCCTCCCACAGCTCAGAAATTCCCTGAAGAGAAGAAAAATCCAGACCCTCTGATTTCCATAATTTTTCCCCTCTTATTTATTTATTTTTTTCCTAAAAATCTTTACATTCTTCTCTCTTTTCCTTGTGTTTGGTGGTGCTTTCTCTCCTTGATGTCTCTCTGGTGTCCTTCCAGCTGAGCTGTTTGCTGAGGATGGTGACACTGCACGGCATTCCCAAGGATTTGGACAATTATCCCAAAGAACTTTTGCTGTTTTTAAGGTACCCGTGCTGTGCTTTTTCGTGGCGTTGCCTTGATAATTCGATGGGAAAAATAAGGATTGGTTTATAAGCAGGTTGACTAATTTGATTTCTATTTCGGAGTTGTTTCTGGGGAATAAAAAAAAAAAATGGGATTGCAAAAAGCTGAAGGAGGGCAGATTTATATGAGATCTTGGAATAAATCTTTCTTTGTGAGGGTGGGGATTCCCAGAGGCTGCCCCATCCCAGGCAGTGCCCAAGGCCAAATTTTGGCACTCCCAGACCCTCTGAATGTGCTTTTCCCAAATTAAACCCGGAATAAAGTCAATTCCCTTGTTCCACTACCTCCCCACTGCGATTCTTGAACAATTTTAAGCTGTGTCTCACCTCCTGAAGGTGAGAATTAATATTTTAAACAACCATTTAAGGAATTTTTAATTAATTCGATGGCATAGAAAAAATCTGGGGAAGAACAACTCCTACGGAGCTCAGTGTTGTTTTTTTTGTTTGTTTTTTTTTTTTTTAATTTGGAAAATTTTGATTTTTAAAGATGTTTTATCACACGTGGGGGTGTGCTGAACTCACCCTCATTCCCTAAAATCCCTGGATTTTGTTTTTCCAGCCCCTCAGACTATGCAGCCACAGGGAGCTGCAGGCAATTCTTCACCAATGTTGGGGAGGCAAACGAGGATGTCCTGCCCAGAGAGGACCCTCGGAGGCAGCAGCTGCTCCTGGAGGCTCTGGAATGTCTGGTACGAGGAGAGGGACTGGGAATCCTGCAGGGTTTTTTTTGGGGGTTCTGCAGGGTTTTTTTGGGGAATTCTGCAGGGTTTTTTTTTGGGAATTCTGCAAGGTTTTTGGGAATTCTGCAGGGTTTTTTTAGGAGATGCTGCAGGATTTCTCCAATTCCTGCAGGATTCCCCAGTGACTGCAGCATCCCCCCAAAATCCGGGTTTTTTTGGGGAATCCCGCAGTGTTTTTTGGGGAATGCTGCAGTCACTGGGGAATCCTGCAGGGTTTTTTTGGGATCCTGCAGGAATTGGAGAAATCCTGCAGGGTTTTTTTGGGAGATGCTGCAGGATTTTTTTGGGGGATGCTACAGTCGTTGGGGATTCCTGCAAGGCTTGGAGGAATCCTTCAGGGTTTTTTGGGATCCTTAAGGTTTTTTTTTGGGATGCAGCAGGGTTTTTTAGGATCCTGCAGGGCTTGGGGAAATCCTGCAGGGTTTTTTAGGGGAAATCCTGCAGGG